TATCAGAATAGGGATATTATAGAGATTGTAATACGTTTAATAGTTGAGTTCATGAATCGATTCAAGTTAGATCACCATAGAAAACGTGAAAGAACTGGAAAGCTACAGTTAAACATATTAACACTTTTGGATTTTGACTCAGTGGTCTACATGTTAAGCGTTCGGCGCGTGCGACCGAATATCCTTCATTTGAATCCCACATGAGCGATTGTAAATGAGCTCTGCCACTAAGGAGTTACATATTAGAATGAAACAGCTGTGTAATGCTTCTAGGTGTTGAGGATGTTAGATCCCTAGAAATCACTTGGAAAAGGTCTTAATTTTGTAATTTTATTCTGAAAATTTGAATTTTATGTTTTCTCTTCAAGAGACGCTTAGTTGACCTACAGCTTATATTTCCCACTTGGAAATCCTTAACTGTCATTGATTGACGAATTTTTTTACTACGCTATTTTATGGCTCTCCCAAGGGCGTTTCTATCATTGTATAAGTAAGTTTGATTTGTGTGCTTAGTGACCTCGTATTTTCTGAGTGTTTGTAGAATACAGTCTCTACGCCTCATCAAGACTACTTGATCTAATTAGCAGGTCCAGGGACAACGGTTTAGAATAACTATCGTGTCATTAAATCTTTGACTTTCATTCCGTTTACCGAGTAAAGTGAACTCGTAATAGCATTCAAGCATATCACCAGGTTTTCCATAGTTGTTTAGCTTTAATTGACTCATGAATCCAATGATGAAATTCTTTTTTATTTTACACTTTAGCTTTATTCGAAGAGACAATTTTATTGTACCACCAGGTAATGTCGGAAGGTATTCATTTAATTTACTAAACACGCTTTGTTTTTGCAGATCATTCCAATCTAAATTTTAAACATCTAATAGTTACCTATAATTACTGATTTAGAAACATTCACCGATGAATAAATCCATACGATATTCCTTTGAAACAGTTTTCAGTGAAAGAGAAAATGACAATGAAATGCTTGTATTCTAAGTGTTTTCTTTACTTTTCTATCTCATTGAAGTAATAAATTGATGGAACTTAGTCAGTATGAAAGTGAGATAGTAACAGATATACACACTGATAGCGCTGAATGGTGAATACTTTGCATATATATCACGGGTTGGTTGGATTTGAAAGTTTGAACTGATGGTTAGTTAAAGGTAGTTAGTACGAAACCATCGATCCAGATTTCATTCTAGATAAGACTTTTCAGCAACCCCTACTTGGAATCTTGAGAGAACTGGTACTCCTTGTGACATACAAGCCTAGGTCACCGGGTTTCATGAATTGAAACTACAGCACAGACATGCACGGATGACGAATTACTTGGTCATTACCAAGTTAATAATGATTAGTAAAAATGTAAACTATTTGGATTTCAACCCCATGGTCTGTAATTAAATCGAAAACTTTTGTGTCTTGTATTCAATCCCTGGTAGTACATTTTTTTCACTTTTCACAGAAACAAAGTTACACATGAAACGAAAATGTTTTTGCAGTGATCTCCATATATTGCAAACATTCTCCAAATAATATTGACAGTGCAGTTCAACCGGGTCTGTTGTAAGATAGTAACTCACTAAAGACAATGATAAATGTGTCGCTCAATTAGACATTAACACGGTTGGATGCCGGTCAGCTCAGTGGTCTAGTGGTTACGCACTCACGCGCGAGACTGATAGATCTTGGGTTCGAATCTCACGAGACAGGATCGTGAATGTGAAATGCTGAGGAGTCTCACAATAGGACGAAACGGCCGTCCAGTACTTTCAGGTTTTCCATGGCGATCTAGCTTCAATTGACTCATGATCTTAAGCATTGAAATAGTGACCTTGTTTGAACCAAATCCGGTCAATTTACAATAAATTACAATACAAATTTTCTTTCCTTTTTTTAAACGTTGTTTCTTATTTTTCACGACTGAAACGAAAACAAACAAACAAGTCCTTACCATTTATATAGATCACTGATGTTTTATTTTGTTTATATTTTTGGTGTTGATTATCAGCTGTTGTGAATGATTGTCGTTAGTAACTATTAGTAAAAAGGAGACAATGTCATCTGTTCGCACCTAAAGATGATAATGTCAAACTAGTTAGAATTTAGAAAAGAAAGAAAGAAAGAAAGAAACAGCTTCAAAGTTATGGAATAAACATCAATAGAATATATCAATTAATCAGTGTGAGATCAGAAAATGATCATTAAGTACCACCTATCAAATGTTAGTTTATCGGTAAATAACTTTGAAGGTAATAATAGATGGAGTTATATTTCTCTTTAATGTTTATTAGAGTTAAAAATGAATTAAGACTTATGTAAGAAGTAGATTAAGGTTTAAAATTATGATGAAGGTGTTCATAAATGAATCTTAACTCTAAAGTTGGAACCCAGAACGCTTGTTTCGTCCTACTTGAGATTCATCAGTTGAATGTAGGTGAATCTTGGTATTGATGTTTATTTCAAGCATTGAACTTAGTAACTTTCATTTTAAACCCCAAACGCATTATCTACTCAACTATTCAGTTAGCCATAATCAATATCTTTCATAAAAATTTGTTAAAAACAGTATTACAACAAACATCACAAGTTTCAGATATCCCAAACAAACATGACTGAAATTCAGACATAAAGAACAGTCAGTCAGTCAGCAACAACACAGAACTTCGTACGTATGTACATCAGTTCGAGTTGCCATACCACATTAGCACAGAGATGCAGTTGTCGACTCAAATCCCGTGGTGGTAGAGATAGTAAGAGTATAAGCAGTAATCGGAAAGATTAGGGTTTGAAGATATTATTCAGAGAGTATAATTCAGTGAAATAAATTTGGAAAGAGAAAAAAAAGAGACAAGGAGGATTCATAAAGATATTCATTGTAAATTCTTAAATAATGATATCATCATTCATTCATTTATACTTGTCACTTAGTAATTAATAGTTCTTCTAAACGCCAATCATCAAACTGTATCACGAGGCAAGCCCTAACTTGGAATTCTGAAGTGAAGAGGAAAAGAGGAAGATACAAAGAACACATTACGTCGAGAAATAGAAGCAGATATGTAAAAAGGATGAATAACAACTGGAACGAGCTGGAAAGGATTGTCCAGGACAGGGTTGAATGGAGAATGCTGGTGAGTGGCCTATGCTCCTTCACGAGGAGTAACAGGCGTTAGTAAGTAAGTAAGTAAGTAAATAGTAATTAATAGTAATTTGTAGCTCGTCCAATTATTACAGATCACTAGGTTTTTTGTATCACTTATTTACAAGCATTTTCCGAATGCATCAATGTTCAGTTAATTGAATGAGTACAACAATTTAAAAGTTCGATTTTGTTTACTGAGGATCTTATTTCAAGCTCTATTTTCATTCGACAAATTGGAATCGCTTACATTAGTGTATCATATCAGCTGTGACCAGTAGAGTTCAACCAATTTTGTTGTGAGATATTAACTCACTGAAGACGATAGTAGACGTTGGTGCATTTCCATGCATTGTTTGAAGTTAGATATTAACAGAGTCGAATCACGCCTCAGTGGTCTAGAGGTTAAGCATTCACGCACAAAAGCGAATGTCTTTCATTCGAATCCCACATAAGTCATCGTGAATGAGCACTTCTACTGAGGAGTCCCATATTAGGACGAAACAATCGTCTAGTACTATCAGGTTTTCCATAGTTGTTTAGCTTTAACTAACTCATATATTCATCGTCGAGCAATCAGTTGAGTGGAACTCATCACTATACATCAACTTCATCGATTATGAAAAGGCATTCGACAGTGTAGATAGGAGGACATTATGGAAACTTCTTCGACACTACGGAGTTCCTCAGAAGATTGTCAATATTATCCGGAACTCATACGACGGACTAAAGTGCAAAGTAGTGCATGGAGGACAGCTGACAGATGCATTCCAAGTAAGGACCGGAGTCAGACAAGGCTGTTTACTCTCTCCCTTCCTCTTTCTTCTGGTGGTCGACTGGATTATGAAGACCTCAACATCTGAAGGAAAACACGGAATACAATGGACAGCTCAGAATCAATTAGACGATTTGGACTTCGCAGATGACCTAGCCCTCCTATCACGTACACACGAACAGATGCAGATGAAGACAGCCAGTGTAGCAGCAGTCTCGGCATCAGTAGGCCTCAGCATACACAAAGGGAAAACTAAGGTCCTCAAATTCAAAGCGGAGAACAGCAATCCAATCACTCTTGATGGCGAAACTCTGGAAGATGTAGAGTCCTTCACATACCTTAGAAGCATCATCGATGAACAAGGAGGTTCAGATGCAGACGTAAAGGCGAGGATCGGCAAAGCAACGGTCTCATTCCTACAATTGAAGAACATATAGGACTCAAAACAACTTTCAACCAATATCAAAGTGAGAATCTTCAATACGAACGTCAAAGCAGTTCTACTGTATGGAGCTGAAACTTGGAGAACTACGACAACCATCATCAAGAAGGTGCAAGTATTTATAAATAGTTGTCTACGCAAGATACTCAACATCCATTGGCCGGATACCATCAGCAGTAGCCTTCTGTGGGAGAGAACAAACCAACTTCCAGCTGAAGAGGAAATTAGGAAAAGACGATGGAAATGGATAGGACATACATTACGCAAATCGTCAAACTGCATCACGAGACAAGCCCTGACTTGGAATCCTGAAGGGAAGCGAAAAAGAGAAAGGCCAAAGAACACATTGCGTCGGATAATAGAAGCAGATATGAAAAGGATGAATAGGAACTGGATGGAGCTAGAAAGGATTGCCCAGGACAGGATTGGATGGAGAATGCTGGTGAGCGGCCTATGCTCCTTCACGAGGAGTAACAGGCGTAAGTAATATATATATATATATATATTGAACGTTGAAGCTTCAAATGAAATCCTTAATAAAAGAAATCATACTTTCACATGTATGACTTACCCATTAAGTGTAAATATTCATAGTGTAATTGGTTTAACAAAAAAAAACAACTCAAAGAACAATCTCAAGTATAGAAGTATCTATATTTATAACTCTTATATGTATATATATTTGTCATCTGTATAAAGTAACATTTTTAAAATACATAGGGGGAAAAAAAACGAGAAAAACCAAAAAAAAAATAAAGAAGAAACAAATCAATACCAGTTAGAAACTACTCGTTAGTAACAATCATTGAATGTAGTCAATTATAAAAGAAACTTTTATAGTTCATCATTTCTAATCATGACATGTATACACATACACTTGTAGAGAGAAAGAAGAAAAAGAAAAGAAGAAGATGATGATGAAGAGAAGGAGACTAACACATATAACCATAAGGTAAGAGAATAAAGAAGGAATAATTGAAGAGTAAAGAATTAAAACATCATATTATATGTACTGATTATGTTCAGGGCTTTGTTTCTAAAGCAGATAATCTAAGTGTTTTCCAGTATATTGTTAACAAGTATATGAATAATATAAGGAATAGGGAATCCAATTATTATTATTATTAGTAGTATCTCTAGTAATAAGTTTCTTTTTCTATCCATGAACCAGGAAATCGTCGAATTAAATATTTTCTTGTTTCATCATAAGCAAAAATCAATATGGAAAATGGTAATGCTGGAAGCCACCATGTATATCTAATAATATAACAAATCAATAAACCGAGTATTATTTATAATCGTATTGTAATTATAATTGAAATGAAATGTTTCATGTGATGAGTTCACGAACTCATCTCTCTGATATTGAATGAATTCAATAGTTCTACTAATTCTTTGATCAGTAATCATCTGATAGATTATGTTCATAGATGATTCTTCTTTGTATAATAGGACTTTTTGAGGATACTACTGTGGTGTGGATTACTTATATCCATACATGTAGTATATAACGATGATCAGGCATAGAATGTATTTCAATAGAAGATTGATGAGGAAAGAACAGGAGCGGAACGGAACGGAACGGAACGCAATTGGTATGAAAATGCATGAACAATGAAATCTGAGACAACGGTTTGATGTTTGCAACAGGAACAGCCAAGTTTGATATGATGGATTGATATTTTGCATATTAAGGATTTACTATACGGTTCTCAGATTTTAATGAGATACCCGCTCGTTCATTATACCACTACTACTACACACACTCATATTAGCAGTAGCAGTAGTGGTGGTGGTGGTGATAGGAGAAGTTGTAGCTTACACACTTATCTATTAGTTTATTGCTTACGTAGAAATACTGGCCTATTACCAATTAAAACGTCATTAAGGTTAAACGATTAGGTAATACTATCAATTAGATTACATTCCTTTACAATTCTCCAGCGAAACTATAATCTATGGACGACCACACTAACATTGAAAGTGTTCACTTAATAACTAGGACTATATAAGGGTTATAAACCCATATGAGGAATTGGAATTATGATTTACAGCTGATGGTTAGGATTAGAGATTAGATCTATGGTTTCCTATCACGTGCTGACATCAGCTATAATGCCAAAACACTCTTTAGCCAAATGGATGAGTGAATTACGCGCTAAAATCCCAGATCTGTTATCTTATACCTGATTAGTTCATCCATAAATTATAGTCTGGTTCAATTCACTTTCCTTATACTTCAACAAAAGAAAATATAACATTTATAAATTTAATAGAAATTACCTTAAAGGCATCATACGTAGACCTTTATCTAAACCAGGACAATAGGATAAGAAGATTGCTAATGCAGTTTCAAAGAATAATGCAAAATTTAAATATTTATTCCACATTCCTTGTTGTATTACTGAATTACGACGTGTTTTACAAATAATTAAATCAGCCCATTGTACTATGACAATTGATGCAAAAAATGCAGTTTGACATGTGGACTCTAAACGTTTACGTTGTTTATAAGTCTGCAGGGAAGAGATAGGGAAATAGAGAGAGAAAGAGAGAAAGAAACCGATAAGATGCAATACAAAAAGAACGAATTACTAAATAATCTAACTGTTAGATATCATTACATTCATAAAAGAACTAGGTGTACCACTCATAGTTCTAATATGTACATGTTTTATACTTTCATAACAGGTAAAGATGTTTCCCGCTCCCTTCGATCGATTCGTTGCTGATTCAAGATTACAATTTGGATTGATTGAGGACCGATGAAAAAGACTAAAATTCGTTTACCTTTATTGTTTAGGGAGGCCGACTCATTGGTCTAGAGGTTAAGCTTTCGTGCGCGAGATCAAAAGTCCTGGGTTCGAGTCCTGCGTGTGTAGTCGTGAATGCGCACTGTTTAGCAGTCCCATACTAGGATAAGTCGGTCGTCCAGTGCTTTCAGGTTTTCAATGATGGTGTAACATTAATTGATTCATGATCCACGATCTCTTATTGATGAAAGTGTAGCGTAGGGATAAGGCAATCAGAATTAAGTGCGTGAAATTTTATTTCTTGCATAAAATTTTTTAAAATGGATAGACTTCATATTATATCATGTAAAGTGACCAGTAGAAATACCATTGTATCATTGTAAAAATAATAATGTAGATGATGTACAACTCGGAGATCGATTTCATCTCTTCAAATAACAATTCATAGAAGACTTTAATAGATTCGTTGGTGAGACTGTAATTTATGTACAACCTAAGAGCGATGTCAAAGTGGCTTTAAAAAATGTCCATCTACTTATTAGTGTTAAATGAGGGTTATCAACTAGTGTGATGAATTAGATTTGACATTCTCATCACGAACTGATATAAACTATAATGCCAAAACTCTATTTAACTAAATGGATGAATGAACTTCTCATCGAGATCCAAAACATGTTATCATAAATCTGATTGTTTCGTCCTTAAATTACAGTCTCATTATTCTGTTTTCTGACTGTCTAACAACCGGCTAAAACTCATTCTTGGTAGTCTTCAACTAGCTTTTGTACTTTACCCATAATGGAATTCGGAATATTTTTTTCTGTTAGTTAGATATTAGCATTATTAATCTGTAAGTTAATAAGATAAATGCTTGTTATTTACTCTAGATTTTAATTCATTCTGCTACATAGTTTGAATAATCTTATTGAACAATCCAGCTGACGAGTCTCAAATAGAACGAATTGCACATTCTGAATTCTACTGCTAGCCACTATCCATCTTTCACAATTGATTGATCTCTGGGTGGTGATCAATGTCATGCATGTCTAGTCCTTATTAGTGCAGATCAAGTGCTATCGATCATGTTGTAATGCGGCCACCACCCAGTGATCAATCAATTGTGATCACATCTCAGTCCTACAAGAGGTCGGTCGTGGCTTGGATAGCTCAGTGGTAACGTCTCTGACTGTGAAGCTGGGTGACACGAGATTGAATCCGCCAGGGAGCATCAGTTCTCTCAAGATTACAGGTACACCTTACTGACGAGTGCCAAGTAGCACGGAACCCGGGTCCACAGTTTCCTGTCGACTACCTCCAACCACCATCTAACTATCCATCTTTGCTTAGAATGCTTGTGAATTATGGCAATATCAAGGCAATACGCACAGTATGCACATATTCCAATAAAATAATTGTGTGACATATATGTATTCGGTGCCCCTTTTTGTACCAATTGATTGATTGATTGCATGGTACAGTTAAAAGTACACCTTTATTTAGAAATATATCAATTTATAATAAACATAAAAGAATACTATTTACCCATTCTTGACCATATGAATCACTTAATGCGTCTACAGCTCGTGAATCCCATTCTTTACGTATACCAACTAATCTACTTGGCCAAAAACCATTTTCAGCCATAATAACAAAATAAACAAAGAAACCACCAAGTGCTTGTATCATTCCAATTTGACCATAAGCCATAGCAATTAAACGTTCATTTACTAAACGATCATGTAATGGATCACGTGGCATACGTTTCATAATATCTGATTCAGCTTCTTCATAAGCCAATGAAATTGCTGGAATCTATGAGAAAAATATTTTTAAAAAAAATACTGAATTGAATGTTGAATTATGGTTTGATTAATGTTGTAACTTGTGAACAGTGTCCCTATCACTGTGTAACGTAGTGATACCGCCAATTAGAAAACAGTGATTTATCAAATGGGTTAACGACCCATATGAAGCAGTCTAGAGTCTTTATCGGTCCTTCTTCCCGCCTATCCCTGCCTGCCTGTTCGAATCCAGAACACCAATCTCAACCTCCGCAATATGAATCATGTATTTCAACCATACTGGGTTTATATACCAATCAAACAGACCACATCGTACGATAAAATAGAAAACAACATTTGTACAAGATTTAGCCAAATGTGGCTGTAAATGTTGGAGATTGTAATTAATAGACAGGGCATAATTCAAGAATGGTAAATCGTATAATAACAGTTCATAGGTTGAAATAGAGCTTATAATAAGAGGAACATGAATGTGCATAGAACAGCTACTTAACAATTATGCAATATAAATATACGTATAGTATTTGTCCACAAATAGATCCCAGCAATTACCATTCATTATTCTCATCGGGATATAACAGTTAACTCGTTGTATTACTAGGAAACTTTTAATATTAATTCTACATGGAAATTTTCAAAATGTAGTTCATCAGTTGTTAGGCAACGATTATTGTATGATAGATTAATAGTTAAATGAAATCACATAAAGTAAACTGTAATCTAACCACTTTATATCATTTCCATAACTGTTATACGTCAATATTATCTATATTAACTTCAATGGTTAAGATCATGTGTCAGTTGAAGCTAGATCACCATGGAAAACCTGGAAGCACTGGATGGCCGTTTTGTCCTATTGTGGGACTCCTCAGCAGTGCGCATCTATGACCTTGCCCCCTGCGAGATCTATAGCTCAATAATTAGCGTTCAAATGATATATTGAAATTAACATATTTTACAATAATACTTTGATTAGACAACTACTGAAAATAAGAAAGCACTGAACAGTTATTTTATTCTAGTAGAGGACTGTTTAGCACATATCCAGTACTTGACTTTAAGTCGACCTCAGAAACTCCAGGTATCTCAGTGAACACTTGATCTCCAGATAAATAAGTTATTACCCAACGGTTTATATTCTTAAGTCCAGTGAACTGCTCAAATTGCAAAAGTATCACTGATTGTCATTCATGATATTTGTTTCATATTTTTACATGGTTAGATCCTATTAATTAAAGCTTCTGAGTAGAACGCCAAGATTTATCTGTCTAAGTTAGTCACTAGCAAGTACGAGATGGTTGTTACTATCGAGCTAAAAGTTTCATATCATGAACTAACTTTAGCTAGAAAACAGTTGGAACTAACTGTCAGTTGGTGATCTGAGACTTCAAATTTGACTGTCGTGAATAGCTACAGATAAATAGTCTTATGCTAAGATGAAACAACTGTCAGTTGCATTTTGGTTATCAGTGATGATCAATTCGCCAATCTTACAGTATCCATTAAAACCCCATGGTCATTTAAAAGGAATCAATTATATATTTTCATGAAATAGAGAACATTACTTACCATATCAGTACCTAAATCAATACATAGAATTGTAATTGTACCTAATGGTAATGGTAAACCAAATCCAATATACACTAGAAATGGTGTAATCTCTGGTATATTCGATGTTAATGTATATGCAATGGATTTTTTCAAATTATCAAATATAAGACGACCTTCTTCAACTCCTGTAACAATTGAAGCAAAATTATCATCTAATAAAATCATATCCGCTGCTTGTTTACTTACATCACTACCGGCTATACCCATTGCAACACCTTGTGAACACAAAAAAAGAAATTCAAAGAAAGAAATAAGGAGTGAGCGATTTTACATATGTTTTGTTTATTATATTGAATGGAATGTGTTGGCTTAAGATTGAAATATCTGCAAATTAGATTTTTATGCTAACAGGTAAACTCAATGTGACAATGACACTGCTAATTATTAAGTAATATTAAAGAGGAAGAATGTAATTGAAGTAAATCCAACGTTTCGCCTGGTAATCTTACTTACTTACTCACTTACGTAGAGCTGTTAACCGCCAATGAAGCATAGGCCACTGACCAACATTCTCCAACCTACTCTGTCCTGGGTCTTCCTATCTAGTCCTATCCAATTCTTGTTCATTCTTTTCATATCTGTTTCCATTTCTCGGAGTAATGTGTTATTTGGTTTTCCTCTCCTCCTTTGACCTTGAGGATTCCATTTGATGAGTGCTTGCGTTGTGACGCAGTTGGGTGCTTTCCTCAATATATATACTGTCTACTTCCAGGGATTATTTCTGATTTCTTCCTCCGCTGGAATGTCGTTTGTCTTTTTTTACAGTAGGTTGTTGTTCATAGTGTCTGGCCAACGGATCGGAAGTATTTTGCTCCTGGAGCCCCTCTTAAGCTGCTGTCGATCTTAAGCCCAGATAAAAGGAGGGGGGTTGGGCATGGGGTTAGCGACCCCGTCTCGTAGAAAACTAACTCACTAAAACAACGCTAACCAGAAAAAATAATCCAAACCAAATTTGGATAGAACTAGAAAGGAAGGCCCAGGACAGAATAGGTTGGAGAATGCTAGTCGTCGGCCTATACTCCGTTGGGAGTAACAGGCGTAAGTAAGTAATTAATGTGATCTTGATAATCAAGAAGTTTTTGTAAACCATACTAAGACTGTTGAAAAGATTTGTACGCATATTCGTCAATATTTAAACGAATAGTTTGACAGAAGTGGGGTACGGAATAGTGTTAAAAAATCGATAATAATTCAAAAAGGATAATCAAAGTGGAATTCATAATTTTATAAATTTATCTTCAAAGTTTCCAAAAAACATTGACTTAACAAAGTATTTTCAGTAATGTCTTGACTTTTGAAGACTTTCTCTGTGATGCATTCGGCGGAACTTCAATTTATGAACAAAACAATGAAATTATCAGTATAGATTTGTGGAGATTATTAAGTTTTTGATTAAGATCATGAATCAATTGGATGTTAGATCACCATGGAAAACCTGAAAGTACTGGATGGCCGTTTCGTCCTATTATGGGACCCCTCAGCAGTGCGCATACACGATCCCGCCTGCGGGGTCCAAACACAGGACCTATCGTTTTTGCGCGCGAACGCTTAATTTCTAAATCACTCACCTTGCATCCAACAGTGTTGATGTCTAACCTCAACTAATCCACAAAATTACGCGACCATCTTCTATTGTACTGAGTTAGATACCTGTATTTACCTGATATTAACAACTCTTGAATTTCAGCACGAAATTCATTAATTCATATAATTCAATAACATTTTGATAATATAATTGATATCCATTCATGATGAATACCTCTATTCTAATGTTTAATTCTAAATTCTATCTCTAAATCTCAATGTTAATTTCTTTATAGCAATTTATAAGCATCTTTTGATCCTAATAAATAAATAAATTAACTGTCTTAACATCACTGTGCTTAAAACTAGTGCCTTCCTTAGACCACTCAGCCACTCCATCGACTTAACATCACTGTTATATCACATAATTACCGTCTATAAATTATGTTCATCATTAGTTACTAAGAGAGAGAGATAACATATTAGTATACGTGTCATATACTAATTGATGTTTAGTAAGATTAAGTATTATCATATAAAGTACTATTGACAACAACAACAACAACAACAACAGTAACCACAGCGACTACAGCAACAACATTAATCACTTACTTGTATGTATTAGGGTTAATGAACTATTCATCACATGTTTTGTATTATGTATTAATTATCATTAATAAAATAAACAAACTCTTGTTTAGATAAAGTTTTAAGTTATTTTCTTTTCAACTTATACTACTTTAAATAAACAAATTTTTAGCTGATTGAAATCATGAGTCAATTAAAGCTAGACCACCATGGAAAACCTAGAAGCACTGGAAGTTAGACATTAACACCGTCAGATAACGGCTCAGTGGTCTAGTTGGTTAAGCACCTGGCGCGAGACTGATAGGTCCTGGGCTCGAATTCCACGTGGTGCGGGGTCGTGGATGCGCGCTGCTGAGGAGCCCCATAACAGGACGAGACGACCATCCAGTGCCCCCAGGTTTCCCATGGTGGTCTAGCTTCAATTGGCTCATGATTCCAATCAGTGACATTTCTAAAATCTCCACAAAGACCCTTCTGATAAATATTTAGCTATCTATATTCTTAAATATAAATATACATTTTCATGGTTGTTTAAAATTCCGTAGGGAGGAATTCAAACATAGATCTTATTTATACCTGTTACTCCTTGTCGAAAAGTATAGGCGCCGCCCATCAACACTCTACATCCAACCCTGTCATGGGCATTCCTTTCCATTTGTTATTTATCTTTTTTATATCTGCTTCTATTTCCTGACATAATGTGTTCTTTGGCCTTCCTCTTTTTTGTTTCCCTTCAAGATTCCAAATTAGAGCTTGCTTCATGATGTAGTTTGATGATTTTCTCAATGTATGTCCTATCCATTTCCATCGTCTTTTCCTAATTTCTTTTTCGGCTGGAAGCTGATTTGTTCTCTCCTACAGAAGGCCATTGTTGATGGTATCCGGTCAATGGATGTTGAGTATCTTATGTAGACAACTTTTTATAAATACTTGTACCTTCTTAGTGATGGTTGTAGTAATTCTCCACATTTCATTTATATATAGTAGGACTGTCTTGACATTCGTATCGGAGATTCTCACTTTGATATTGGTTGAAAGTTGTTTTGAGTCCCATATGCTCTTGAATTGTAGGAATGTGGCTCTTGTTTTGAAATCCTCGTTTTTATATCTGCATCAGATCCTCCTTGTTCATCGATGATGCCTTCCAGGCAGGTGATAGACTCAACACCTTTCAGAGTCTGTCTATCATGTGTGGTCGGACTGGTGTTCTCCGTATTGTATTTGAGGATCTTGCTTTTTCTTTTGTGTATACTGAGGTCTATTGATGCAGAGGCCTCCTCACACTTATGAATACTTCCGCGTTAGCATTAAAAATATTCGGGTCTCGTTGTTAACGCTTACATGTTAGAATCGTTGAGTCAGAGTTCAATGGCATACGACCACATTCAATTAACTAACGATATATAGTGACGATTATTTCATCGAATAGTAACAGTTATTTCATTCCCAACATGCCTGTACTCTAATGGTTACGACTTTATTTTAGAACTAAAGGAATTCCTAAACATTAATCAGAAGTAGATCATTATAGTTTAGTTGGATGAGTATTGTAGAGTTTGGGTTGAAAGTTGTTCAGTCTTCTCTGATTTTCTATGGTCACTTAATCAACCAGTCAACTACAACTTAGGACCAGGCACATATATGGTACCTCAATAGAAATCAATAAACAATATAAATCTAAAGATATATAACATTCAGTGAAGCACTTCATCCAAATGTCATAACATCCAATCATAGCAGAACTGATGATAGTAATGATCCTTATACAAACCATAACAAAAATAACATTTTTTCACTATTCCGTGATCGCCTAATGTAAACATCTCAATCTCAGATTATGTCAGCTATAATTTGAATAAATGAGTAATGATCTGGAAATAAGCCTTGCTAATAAGTGCTACCTAATGTGAAACATACGTTCAAGGTTTCACATCAATAGCCTTGTGCCACATAACTTATAATAGAAATAATAATAATAATAACTGTTATTATTGTTACTACCATTTTTATTACTATCATTGATACAGTTTACATAACTGACGTTCCCAAAGATAAACTGTCAGGGTAATGCCTTTTATCATTTCATTTTGTCACTCATATTAATTGATTTCGACATTACTCTCTCTTCATTGGGTTGTCATCTGTAAGTGTATTTATTGTTATGTTGATAGCTACAATAGGTTTTAATCTGTCCCATCTATTCACCCGTTTGAGGAATTATAAAATTACTGAAATACATGATTCTGAACTGAGCTCGGTGCAGCGTAACTTTCGAGCTAATGAACGACATAATTTCATCTGATCAGCTTCAGAGGTCGACAAAGAATCTGTCTTTCTTCTTTACTTTATTGATTAAATACTTGACTAACATAAAATTTTGATTGATAACCGTATAAAACATTAAGTGAAACGCTGTTTAACAGCTTTGTTTTAAATTAAACCTACACTTAACCTGTAGACTACTGAGCCAGTATACAGCAGTGTTAATGTCTAACTTCAGCCAATCTGAAATATTGCGCGACCGTCCACCATTGTCTTCAGTAGGTAACTGCTTCACAACAGACGTGGTTAAACTCTATTAGTCACGGCTTCTCACTAGAACTCCAAAAAATCCATCTTTAAGCTAGTCACTAGTGAGTACATGATAATAATCAGTACATGGTTGTGGATACTGTTGAGTTTAGATTGGTATCATGAATGAATTAATGTTATATCGCCACTGAAAACCTGGAAGCACTGAGCGGCCGTTTCATTCTAGTATGAAACTCCCCAGGACGAAACGACCTTTCGGTGCTTCCAAGTTTTCAATAGTGATGTAACATTGATCCATTCATGATACTAATCTAAACGAAATAGTATCCACAACCCAATACTGATTAATGAATACTGTGGATTGTTGACTATATTGAATAATCTGCATCCACGATCCCTCAAGCAGGACTGAAACTCAGAACTTTTGGTTTCACGCGCTGAGGAGTCCCATATTCTGGGACGAAACGTCCATCCAGTACTTTGAGCTTTTCAATGGTGGTGTAACATTGATCGATTCATGATCTCAATCAAATAGTTAACAATCTCCACAACCTCATACTGATAGTTTATTAATTCACTTTCACTTACCAATATCAGCTTGTTTTAAGGCTGGACTATCATTTACTCCATCACCGGTTACAGCAACAATTGCACCTTGTCGTTGACAACCTTCTACTATAATTAATTTTTGTTGTGGACTAGTACGTGCAAATACAATTTCTGGATGATTAACTAATATATCATCAATTTGTGCTGGAGTCATTTCACGTAAATCAGAACCATGTACAACACAAGCAACAGCTTCACGTGGATTCACCTACAAAATTAAAAGTAAAAATAAAAGTATGTACAAAAGACAGTGAACATTAGGTAAATTGATAATAAACGACTAAGGAAACGAGCCATTTCTGTCATGATCTAAAGTGACATGAAAAACTATTGATAATCAGAGAGTATAAAATAGATGGTTCACTTCATTTTCGTCAACGTGTGATGAAATCTGAACATTATCTTATGTGCACAATTGATTTATTTCGTAATTTATAAGTCTATCATCACATAAGATGATTGATCTGAGAATTTGAGGTTTGATCACGCATTTAATCATAAGTGTTTTTACTATTTAGAAAATAAACATATATTCAAAGCTATCAGTGATTCTTCCGTTTATGCTGGTTTATTTCTTAGTAATATTGTTGACAAAAGAATATTGCATAGATGACTAAAAAAGAATAATCGTTTCCCATTAGTGTTTTGTTCAACAACCTAACATCGTCATAAATAGCGTTATTTGTGCAAATATGATTAATATTGTTAAATAGGCCCCTTATCAAACCTAATTTGTATTGCACTGGATAGTAACTATAATAACTGTAGTACTGACATGTCCGAGTTGACTTTCTAAAAATAAATCATTTGATTTGACGGTCTTCATATCTACTTATAAGTATATCTAATAAAGGAAGCTGGTAGTTCTTCTTCTCGTCACATGAAGGTCTGGTGAAGTTTTGAAAAGCCTTAGCACAAAGAAGCCTGTCTATGTCATCTTGGTATTCAGAGATAATTCAAATAACCTTTTACTGAAACAAAGACTGAAATCAGTTTTTTTTTTAATGTTCAACTAAAGTACCCTAGCATGAATAGTGAATTCAAATGGGTTTAAGCCACATGTGCGAGGTCGTGGGTTCGCAGTGTTGAGGAATCCCATACTAGGATGAAACGACTACCCAATACTTCCAGTTTTCAATGGTGGAGTAACATTTATCCATTCATGATATCAATCTGAACTCAACAATCTCCACAATCCTATACTGAAAAAGTAGAATAACATATTGATAATCATATGGTGTTAGGACAGTAAAATTTATCGTGGTAGAGATTGAGATTGATCGTGTAAAATATCAATAATTATCTGAAATTGGAAATATGAACCATTGACTACGAATTTAGTGATTGTACAGTCAAGTCATCGCTACATGACGGGTCGACCGCCTCACTTATCTTGGAAGTCTCACTAGCCCTTGTGGTCTGGTGTGTGACGAAATCTCAGTACGGATACAGAAGGCTCGACCAAATTTTGCCAACCTGCGTCATTTATGGCTTAGGCAAGATATCCGTCTATCAACCAAATGACGTGTTTACTGTGCAGCAGTTCGTTCCGTCCTACTTTATGGCAGTGAAACGTGGCCGGTAAGAGTAGAGGATATTTGTAGGTTACTAGTATTTCATCATAGATGTCTTCGAAACATTGCTCGTGTATCCTGCGACCATCGAGTAAGTAATGCATATGTGAGGAAACGGGTACTAGGTAAGGATGGCAAATCCATTGATGAAGTGATGAAACTTCATCATTTGAGATGGCTGGGAAATGTGTTACGTATGCTCAACCACCGACTGCCTCGATGTGCGATGTTTTGTTGTATAGGAGTAGATTGTAAGAAAGCTAGTGGCGGCCAGAACAAAACGGCACAAATCCATGAAGTCAATGACAAGTGGACTGAGTCATGTTGGTAGGTGCAGACTACCTGGTTGGGAACGCGAGATGATAGCAACCGACGGTTAGAGACCCTGAGTGACATGGCTCAAAATCGTTTGCAATAACTCTGGTGCATCCACTCTTTGTGTTCTCCCTAATTATAATCTTCTGAATTCTTCGTGTCGTTTTTCTTTCTTCTATTTCCAAATTTATTTCACTGTATTATACTCCTTGAATAACATCTTCAAACTTCAATGTCGCCGATTACTGATTATACTCTTACTACCTCTACCACTATGGAGTTTGAATCGACCGCCGCATCTCTGTGCTAATGTGGTGTGGCAACTCGAACTGATGTACATACGTACGAAGTTCTACGTTGTTACTTACTGACTGACTGACACGACTTAAATATAATGAGTTCAACCCTTAGCAAAATGTGTATGGTTACATGAGGCTCAGGAGTTTTATACAATGCGCATTGATAAACAACAACTGGGTGCTATTAAACGTTTCACAAAAGGATTACGTAATTGCTTTTTAAAGTAAAAAAAAATGAGTACTTGTGTAATTTTTGTTTACTTAATTAAATCTATTCCACTTGTAAACAAACTTCAATTTATCTTATACAATATAAAAATGAGTTAAATATGTCAATCTTAATTTACAATGGAAATACAAAAACACAACAACAAACGATTACGTAATAATTCATTCATTCATAACTATTTACAGTAGTGAATGAATTCATAAATAAAGTTACTTAAGTTATTTGATTGAGATCATGAACCGACTGATGTTAGACCACCTTTGGAAACCTGGAAGCATTGGAAGACTGTTTCACCCTATTGTGGGACTCCTAAGCAGGGCGCATCCACGATCCTGCTCGCGGGATTTGAACCCAGGGCCTTCGGTCTCGCGCGTGAACGCTTAACCTACTGGACCACTGGGCCGGCATTCAATGGTGATAGTGTCTAACATCAACCAACCAGGTTTCCAAAGCTGGTCAAAAACTTAATAATCTCTACAACCCCTATACTAGTTACCTAATTTATTTTATAAAAAATGTAACTAAATTACTGACTGATGATTTTTACTGAAACTATCTAAACTGTAATTTTATCCTTTGTGGACGTCCTCGATATTGTCTTAAGTCACAAGCTTTTTATAGGCAAAGATGAATGATGGCTAGCAGTGGAGTCCAAGACGCACGTTTCGTCCTATTTGGGACTTGTCAGCTGGATTTAACCGCATCTAAGAGTTGATGATTACTTCAAGACTCTAACCCAACTCAGTTTGCTTCAAATGCCATCACTCTGGATTTAAGTCATACAGGGAATATCAACTTTGGGATGCAGGTACATCCTACTGACAATTGAATGTTGTTAATAGATAACAAACTAAGACTTAAATGTGTAACGACTCAAGTTGTCCCAATTCATGTCGTCGTATCAATAGAAAAAATCAACAAAATGAAAAACATAGATAATGAGAGATAAAATCAAATCAAATTGGAAATGTAAAAGAAAGCAATCGTCCGGTCATCAGTAACGTAAATCTTTGTATCATATATGCATTAGTTCACGTGGATACATTGAATTATCACATTGAGATAAAATTATTAAAAGAAATTTCGTAGTAGAATTAGTAATGGTATCAATGATAGTGAAAATGTTTACGTATAGAATGATAAAAATGTGTCTAAGAAGATTTCGGGATTCACGATCTGAGGAAAAACAACGAACGAATACACAACCATCCGACGTCTAAAACTATTGGTTATAATAGTCATACTGAATGCTATCGGGTAATCTACACTTACATACGTGTGAACAATAGTATGGGATTGCTCAAGAGCGCAGTAAAAGAATAATAGTGATTAAACGTGTGAATAAGTGATTAGAACTGGACCTTTTAACTTATTAAACTGGAGGTATAACACATCATAGACGGTATGACTCGGAGAGGAGGAATGAATTCATTGAATAGAAGACATAATATAATTTAAAAATTGAAGATCTATGAGAAGACAAGGGGTAAAGTAATCTGCTCCATTGTGACCAACTCTGAGCTTTATCATATAATGTACTCAATCATCGCCATTGACAATCGTACGGACCTGATAGACGTAGTCTGTAGATATCAATCCAGCCAATAACTTCCAACCACCATCTTACCTTACTAAAATCACAATAAATTTAAACGACAGATCTTATAACACACTAAAAGACCTCAATCAATAATCAGTGGATTTATGGTTCATTGCTGTGCCTGGTCCCGATCATATATTTCACAACATCTTCGATCAGCTTGGCTCCTGTTTTTAAAAACTCTAAAGCATTATTTTTACTATTCTTCTTTGTGGCATGATCCCAAACAATGTAGAATAATGAATGTTTACTATTTAGAAAATATTTGTCCACATAAACTTACTTGTTCAACAGGTATGCCTTTTTCAGCTGCAATATCCTCGACAGTTTTTGAACCTTTCGAAATTATCCCCACACCTTTAGCAATAGCTTTCGCTGTGATTGGATGATCACCAGTGACCATGATCACTTTAATCCCGGCGGATCGACATTTTGCAACTGCGTCTGGTACAGCTGCACGAGGTGGATCGATCATAGACATTAGACCAACAAAACGTAATCCACTAACTGGAAAATTTGGTTCTTCTTCATTGAATTTGAAATTCCTAAATAAAGCGATAAGCTTCAAAGTGTGAGCATAATTAAGTAGTGAACAAATTAATAGATACAAACTATGAAATTGCGAAAATCCCCATAAACCCCCTTAAAGTAGTGATGATCACATGATCACTGGTGATCAACTTGGAGAGTTGACTGTCAGACTTCTAATAAGAAGCCGATACTAGTGAAGTTTACTCGTGTCGGGTGTGAGTCAGTTGGAAAGTGGTTGTTCAATATCGTGAATCGATTATAATTAAAACAGTAGATCAATAGATGCTAACTCAGTGGTCTAATTCTGATTTACTCAATATGACATCTCAAAGGTACTGAGTTTTCCAGAGCGTTCCTGGATAGCTATTGCTAAAAGAGTCCCATCCAATGTTTCCTGTTTTTCAACGGTTCACTAGCTAAAATCAGCCTTTATTATAAACTATGAAGCAAATCTAAAATTTGCAATCTTAAAAGATTTCAAAAACTTCTATTCAATAACAAATGAATAAATATTACACCACCTTAACTACGATTATATGACAGTTTAGTTAGAGCTTCTCTACATTTTCATCAGTGTCAGTAGAGTAATAAGTCGAACAATTGTTTAATCATACTAAGATGGTAAATATAGTTTTTAAAATCTAATTTCTTATTGTCCACAGAATATTAGCTGAAAAGAGATGTAAGATTAACAGATTAGTATTTTAATTGAGATAGTGAGCCGATCAATGATAGACTATCATTGAAAAGCTAGAAGTACTCGACGGCCGGTTCCTCCTAGTATGAGACTCTGCAACAGTGCACATTGACCAGTTTACAATCTTAATTAAACCTCAACAATCTCTATAACCCTATATGGATTAATATACTCGTAAGCTACTAGTATTTAACCATAGATGCCTTAGAAATATTACCAGCATCTGTTGGGATCATCGGGCAAGTAATAGTGAGGTTAGACTTAGGGTATTAGGGAATGATGATGCTAAGTCAGTTGATGACACTGTGAATCTTCATCGAACGAGATGGTTGGGTCACATATTTCGCATGCTTGAACACCGGTTACCGCGGCGCACAATTCTGACTAGTGTTGGAGATGATTGGAAGAAAGTTAGGGGCGGCCAAACCAAAACGTGGCATCAATGCTTGAAGTCACTAAATTCTGGTGTAAGCCATGTTGGTAGATGCGGACTAGTTGGTTGGGGTCCGTGGTGACTAACGTAACTAATGGTTAGAGACTGTGGGTGACATGGCTCAGAATATATCACAATGGCTTGAGCGTATGTACACACTCTTTGTCTTCCCTTAAACTGTGAGATTTGAATTGCTTTATACCTTTCTTTCTATAGACTAATTCTTTCTTCCTGTACTATATCCTTATACACAATCTTTATTACTATCATTGAAGTAACTAGTTCTATGACTTTGGTGTTCATCTTGTTGTGTTAATGCGGTATGGCAACTTGGACAGATGCATATATGTGCCCGGTCTTACTTTGTAGCTGACTGACTGACTGGATTAATATTTATTTAATATCTTAACATGATTAGACATTTATTTCACATACATAGTTCTTTCAAGAATATGTAAATATTCAGTAACTTCCATATATTTTTTCCTTGTGGAAGCTGTAATTAGACTGACGACTCAAACAAAAGGATTGATTGTAATTCCTTTTGACAAGAATTTTTGATAAGGATAAATTGCTTCTAAAATTCAGAATAGGTGGTTTGAGGCCAGCAGTGCATACCAGGACACATATTTGATGTTATATGGGACTCATCATTTGGTTGATGTTAACATTTAGTTTTAGGTACACGTAGATGATAAGTCCTATATTCCACTAGAAGCTATAAGCCATCTACTCACATGATTTGTGACAGAGCGGCTATATCGACACAATCTACATTAGATGTACGTATACCGAAAGAAACTAACCAATACTCAGTATTAGGTATCAATAACAACATATATGAAAGCCTTACTAATAGTGATATAATTCTTTCGTATTGCTCATTTCAAGACTGAAATATAGATGTGAATAGCACAATGTTAGCATCACCGACTATAGTGATGAATGATACAGTTATGAATTCCACGGCAAAAATCAGTACGTTGATGGATGGAGGTATCGCCTTACTGATGTGTGATGACAAACACAAAATTAAGATACCTATCTACTATCTCTCGGATGTCTATTTATTTGAATCAGTGATACAATTGCTAGGTGGATAAACAGAACTTACCCACCACTTAACATTAGACAATATTGTATAAGGAGTTTCCCAATGTAGTTCATTTATTCAATTTAGATTATTTTATTTGATCCAGAACTATACAGTCTGTATAAGGGCTGATGATAACATCCAATCGATTTTGAAACGAACATTTCTCCTTTGTAAAAATTCCACTTTATATTGAAACTAATAAGCCAACACAAGTCATTGGAGACTACATAAACTGTTTATTTAACCGGTTACAATCTAACAAATTAGCTCAATATTCATATAATCAATACTCACTTTGGATAAGTTTTAGCTGGTAAACGATAATCACAGAATCCAAGTACTCGTTCACCCATTCCACCTAATTTCATGTAGGATTTATTGAATCGTTCACGCATTTCATCATTTAGAGGTTTTTCTTTACCATTAAGTAGAATAGTACTACAACGGTCAATAATACGTTCAGGTGCACCTTTCATAACCAGCAAGTAACGTTCATCCTTGTCGTCAGTTTCATGAATTGACAACTAAATATGAAGTTATGATGATCAGAAAATAGATTTATCCAATAAAACAGTAAGAAATTAAACTATAAAGCTTTTCTCTTGTTCATCCAGTATGTACTAGAACAATAAATGTAAGAAAACGTACTATAGATTTTAAAGTAAAGGAATACTATCCACTTGTGACAATTCTCCTATGGTGAATGAGAACACAATTGGTGACAACCAAACGTATTCAAATACAGAATCATGAAATTTCTTAGTAAAATCTGAAAACCATACAGTAGATACTTCATTTGGTCTCAAACTTATTTCATCATTTCCATTTCAATCACTCTTTGTTCTCTTTCTCTTCTCTTTAATCTTATCAACCTTCTACTTCCAGATATTCCACTTATATCTGTCAATATCATTAACGCACACCACACTTCTATCTTTATTCTGCTTCCGATGTTTATAATAGTCTTGGAAGTACTTCGTTGGAACAAATGATCTCTACTATGGAAAGCAAACGAATGTTTCTCATTACTACAGTTAAGAATGTTAGAGTTTATTTATTGGCTTTATGATTGACCTCCGACAAGAGTAAAGTATTTACATTAATCCCATACCGAATAACAAACAATGTTAAGATAGGATTAATACGTTAATAATTGCAAGTGTAAAGCTTCTTACTTATAACTTACAGTTATTTACACTTTAAATCTAATGGATATGATATGCATTCACTTAGACCAATTGACATAATTCTACTAAAAAGGGAGAGTTCAGTACAAAAATTTTTCTGTACAATTTGTATTTTATTCAAAGGTATCTATAAGAAACCCCTAAATGCCCTGGTACGGTCGAGAATGGGTAGAGTCAACTCTCCCTTTCCAAACGCTCTCACATGTCCACGTGCATACAACCACTGCCAGAGTATTACAACTCTCTGCCTTCTCGCATCATATGCGTTTTTTATGAAATTGAAAGAATGAAATATGAATGTCTGGCGCTTTAACCGGATTGGTGGACACAGAGAGTCCACCTAGGAAAGTTGGTAAACCCTCATTCCAAAACAATGGTGCACATGGGCTACAGGATCCTGAATAAACAAATGGCGTATGAAGCAATCGTTGGACACCGGTAACCATGGGACTACATCTCCTAACATTGCTCCACTGCCTTGTGGATCGGACTTTTAGGTCGAAGGCTCAGGGTGTGGCCTCCTAAGAAAACCACCTGCATCGGTTTGAGCACCCGTGTAGTATCACAGCCCAGACATAAATCAAGTGACTTGTGTGACGTATATGTATTCGGTGCCCCTTCGTACCAGTATATATATGTTCAGATAATAATAATAATGCTTCAAATGTATCAAACAAAAAACAAAAAAATTGCTTACTTGATATTTATTTGTAGAATTAAATGGAATTTCCAATATTTTACGATTTTTAGCTCTATATTCAATAACTTTACCAACACATAATTCAGTACATTTTAATATAGCTGTCTCTGAAGCATCACCATTACATTCACGTTTTAAAACTGGTTTATTTTCTTCACCAGTTTTAAATTCAGCACGATTACATAACATTGCAATACGTGCTAAAGCTGTCCATGTTGGTGAACTTTTATTAAAACGTGCACCTATAAATTACAAAAATTAAAGATGAATTGAATTTGCAAAAAAGATTTCAAGTTATTCCATGATTGAAATCTTTGATTAAACTTTGATTAATCTTGATTAACATATGACTATCCTATGGGTAATTGTCTCGATATAGTTATTTTGTCCTATGCCTGATAAACTGTGACTAGCAATGTAATCAAGGATATGTGTTTAGTCTCATTATTTTAGACTAATCGGGTGAGTGAATGTCTTCTTCTGCTGAAGAGACCTAAATAGAATGTAAAGCATCTCATGAACTTCACTGCATGTCACAATCTATCTCTTTTTTCTAAACGGGAGTTAATACTTTGATTGTTTTAACTAGATATAAGTTATACAATTTTCAGTTAAGTAAATTCTTTCTAGTCGGAAGCTATTCTACGAATTTCAGATTAGTTTGGAGGGTTTTTGAAGATTATTTAATTTTTTTTTCATTTATACATAATCTAATTGGATGCTGACCTATTGATCTGAAGACAAAGCACTGATTACGAGACCGAAATGTCTTGGGTTCAGTCCTTAGGTGAGTTTGTTAATGCTTATAGCCTCTGCCAAGGAAGTCCTACTCACTGCCTTCTCGCACCACGGGTGTTGTTTACGAAAATGGGAGGACGAAAAGCGAATGTCCGGCGCTTTAACCGGATTCCAAACCAATGGTGCACATGGGCTCCAGTATCGTGAAGGAACGAATGGCGTATGAACTAATTGTTGGTCACCGGCCTCAATGGGACTGCATCTCCTTACAATGCTCCACTGCCTTGTGGATCAGACCTTCAGATCGAAGGCTCGGGGAGTGGCCCCCTAAGAAAACCACCTGCTTCGGTTTAGGCACCCGACCAGTATCAAATCCCTCACACATATCAAGTGAGATCTATGTGGCGCATATGTAATTGGTGCCTCCATGTACCAATATCTATGTGTTAAAATAAATAAATAAATAAATAAATTGTTGATGCTTGCTTGCTGGAATATATAGTGTATTACCATGGAAAATCTGTCCAGTGCTTTCTAGTTCTTAACAGTCGTTCAACTAAGGTCAGTCAGTGAAAGTGAAACGTTAAAAACGTTAAATAAAAAGCTCTACTTAAAAAAACGGGAGGGGGCGGAAGGGTGATAGGCAATGTAATATTACCTGTTTGATTCTCTGTAGTATCCGCATCAAATATTTTATTGTCAAACCACATATGTGCTACAGTCATACGATTTTGTGTTAATGTACCAGTTTTATCTGAACAAATGGTACTTGTTGATCCAAGTGTTTCAACAGCTTCTAAATTTTTCACTAAACAATTTTTACTAGCCATACGTTTAGCGGTTAATGTTAAACATACCTAAAAGGTAAGATAATAATGAATTTTGTATATTATATACTGATTAGTATCTATAAGGGAATGATTCGATGACAAACGTGTTATAGTCTATAAAGAAGTAAAGGTTAAAACTATTGATTATATCGTAAAATGCTTAAAACAATTGACTTATAGGCATATGTTCAGCCTATTTTGAATAAAAGTATACTAGTAAGGAATAATTCTTATAAATTTCACAGATTGAAATCATGAGTCAATTGAAGCTAGACCACCATGGAAAACCTGGAGGCACTGGACGGCCGTCTCGTCCTAGTATGGTACTCCTCAGCAGTGCGCATCCGCGATCCCGTCCCCTGCGAAATTCGAACCCAGAACTTATCAGTCTCGCGCCAGGCGCTTGACCAACTAAACCCCTGAGTCGGCATTCAATAGTGTTCATGTCTAATTTCAACCAATCCACGAAGTTGCGCCACCGTATACCATTGTAGATGCGCACTGCTGAGGAGTCTCACACTAGCACGAAACGGCCGTCCAATGCTTCCAGGTTTTCCATGGTGGTCTAACTTCAATTGACTCATGATTTCAATCTATGAAATTTCTAAAATCTCAACAAACCCCTTCTGATAATAATTCTTATAGTTAAGAATGCAGCACAAACATCTTCATGAAAGTTCTTATCACTTTCTGGCATAATTCAAACCAGTAGTCAATGATTTTATAGACTGACAACATGTTTTCAACTGAGTGCCTCTTGAGTTTTTTCAATTAACTCCTATGTCGGCTAGTCTGACTACGATAATGACAACATTTAATCAAGTGAATAATTGTTAGTATGAGCCTTTTTGGGGAAGTGAAGATCAAATTGAAATTTGTAGTATCTTTGTAATTTATTGCTGGAAAACTTCAGTGGCATGTATTTCAAATGTGATCTATTGTTCATTTTGTTTAAATGAATATCATTCCGTGAGGCAATAGCAGCCGATGGTTAATGACCTTGAATGACATGGCTCAAAATCGTTTGCAATGGCGCAGGTGCATCCAAATTCTAATCTTTTGAATTCTTCATGTCCCCTATTGTTTCTCTTTCCGAATTTATTTCACTGGATTATACTCCTTGAATAACATCTTCAAACCATAATCTTTCCGATTACTGCTTATATTTTTACTACCTCTACCATTATGAGTTTTGAAACGACAATTGTATCTCTGTGCTAATGTGGTATGGCAACTTGAACTGAACGTACGAAGTTCTGTGTTGTTGCTAACTGACTGATATAAATTGTTACGGTACAAAGTTATCGATTTATTCAGGAAATATGATCTCTAATAATAAGGTAGTTTACGAAGATAGTTGAATCATGTAGGTTACATTACAAAGTGATCTTAGTTAAATGACCAATAAACACCAGAAATTAATAAAAAACTGTTTGTTCTTCTATGGGACTCCTCAGCACTGGACACAGATAACCCCTATACACAGTTAAACCCAGAGCCAAGAGTTCATCAATGTCGATTATAAGGCGGTAACTTGCCAATCGAATTAAAAGATAGTTTTTGGCCATCACAAATTGACTGAAATTAAACACATAAACAATTAAATTCCAGCTCAGTGGTCTAAATCTTAAGCTGTCGTCGCAAAGTATTAAGGTCCTGAGTTCAGATGTGAATGTCCACTGTTGACGTACTTACTTACTTTCGCCTCTTACTCTCAATGGAGCATAGGCCACCGAATGGCATTCTTCAACCCACTCTGTCCTCGGACTTACTTTCTACTTCTATCCAATTCCTGTTCATTCTTCTCATGTATGTCTCCATTTCTCAGCGTAATGTGTCCTTTGGTCTTCCTCTTCTTCTTTGCACTTAAGGATTCCATGTGATGAGTGCTTGCGTTGTGACGCAGTTCTGTGCATTCTTCAACGTGTGTCTTATTCACTTCCAGAACTTCTTCGTGATTTCTTCCTGCAATCGAATCTGGTTTGTTCTCTCCCACAGTAGGCTGTTGCCGATAGCGTCTTGTTAACCGATCCGAAGTATTTTGCGTCGACAACTGATAATGAACACTTGTATGTTGTGGATGATGACTTTCGTAGTTCTGCAAGATTCCGTCCCATACAGTAGATCTGTCTTGATATTTGTATCGAAGATTTTGACCCTGTTATTAGTTTACAGACAGTTGTTTTAATTTCCAGATGTTCCCCAATTGTAGATATGCTGTTCTTGCTTTGCCTATCCGTGACTTCACATGTGCATCAGATCAACCGTGTTCATCAATGATGCTGCTCAAATATGTAAAGGCTTTTAGATCTTCTAAATCTTGCCGATTGGTGCATACTACTTTGTATCGGAGAAACCCGCTGTTGAGGAGTCCCATGATTGAATAAAACAACTATTCCATACTTCCTAGTATTGATTTGTTCTCTACTATAACCTAAGATCTTCAACGTTTTAATTCGGAAATACTAATAATTTCTATTATGAAACCAAGAAGAAAAACAGAATAACACTTGAGTGAAATTTAAAAAAATAAATCAATAAACACATACTGTAACCGTGGCTAATAGACCTTCTGGAACATTAGCTACAATAATACCAATTAAGAAGATAACAGCTTCAAGCCAACGATAACCCAATATAAAAGCAATAATAAAGAATGTTACACCAAGAACCATTGCAACAGCTGTAATTAAATGAATAAAATGATTTATTTCTTTATGTATTGGAGTTTCGCCAAGTTCTAAACCAGATGCTAAATTTGCAATACGACCCATAACAGTACGATCACCTGTACTGATAACAATACCACGGCATGTACCTAAACATTAAAGTAATATGTACATATATATATATATAATTATATAAATAATCACTAATTTAAGAGTGAAATTGGATTATAATTAGACATTTCTAGCTAATTGTTAAACTATCATTTCAATGTTCTGTAAAAATGTATTGATGAAACTAAAACATTCAGTGAAATTCGACAATCGATTCCATAATCGCATACTGATAATTATCATGTGCCCACTAGTGATTAGATTTGAGAGGGAATTTTCAGAGTTCCAATGAGAAACTGTGACTAGTAGAAGTAATCGATGTGGAGTGTGAGACAGTTACCTATGAAAGACAATGAAAGATGGTCACACAATGTCGTGAATCGATTAAAGCTAGATATCAACAGTGTTGGAAACCGGCTCGAACTCGCGCGCGAGATCATAGGTCCTAGGTCTTATTCCTTCATGTGGGATTATGGATGTGCACTGCCGAGAAGTCTTATACTAGAGCAAATGGCCGCCCATAATATTGTAGGTGTAAGAAACGAGTTATTCAATTAATTTCAAATATGATAAGTATATCATAATAAATATAAATAACTTACCATCAACAGCGTTAGTTGAGAAAAAGGCTAAATTTCTTGTTTCTAATGGATTTTCATTAGAAAACTCTGTTGTACGTGATTGAGGCTCTGATTCACCAGTCAGTGCTGAATTATCTACCTAAGAAAATAATTTTTTAAAAAAAATGATTCGACGGTCATATTTGATTAATTTTAACAATTTGTTAAATATGGTTACTACAGGATTGAAGTATAAATTACTCGGACTAGTCACCTCTTCCTATACACACCAATCAATTCAATTGCTTTTGTGGAGCAATTCGCATTGGTAGATGTTCTAACAGTTTTCATTTTCTTGCTCGTGAATAACCCTCCCCCCCCCAGTGTAATTGTGTAAAGGTATTGCTTTAATCTATAACAATTCAGTTTTAGTTCATTTAATTCAAACCGATCATATATATATCCTGTGAACAGTTATCTGCCTAAATATGTCAAAATAAGAACCTTTTGAAGGGGTGAAGTAATATCCATTCGAATTGAAAAAAAATTGGAGCTTTGTATCCAATAGGAAGATGTTTAGCAGCGTTTGTTTTTACCGTGACTACAAAACTGGTATAATTATTTAAAAATCATTTGAATAATATGATGAAAAAAAGTATTATGACGATACTTACAGCTGCCCTCCCCCTCTATGTTTTTTTCTACGTTTCAATTTATTGTAATCATGTATCTTAGTACCCACTGTTATTTACAGGATAGAATACATGCCCCCTAAATTTGTAGATTATCTTTCTTTCATTGTTCAATAGTTTTACAATATTCAGAATGTTGTTTCCAACCGTTTAGTTAATGAATGTCATATATAGAAGGATATTTTTGATTGGGAGATTTTATTTCAATCTTTAACTATCAAATTTCTTTTTTGTTTCATTTAAAAATTTTCAGTATTGAGTTATGAAGGTTGTTGAATTTCATTGAAATCATGAATTGATCTAAGTTAGACCGATACTGAAAATCTAGAAGGATTAAATAGTCGTTTTGTCCTAGTATGAGACTCCTTGATATTGCCTATCCACGACCCTTCATATTGGACTTAAACCTAACACCATCATAAATTTATTGATCCTGAAAATTTGCTTATCTAGTTCATTTAGCTTTGATTTTTAATAATGTTCTTTTGGATAAACTTGAGTTAGTAAAATAAACAGATGATATGAGAATCCAGGATATCAAAATCGAAGAAAACATTTCGGAGTATGGGGTTATGGAGGTTATCAAGTTTTTGATTGAGATCATAAAACGATGGATGTTAGATTATCATTGAAAACCTGGAAGTACTGGACAGCCGTTTCATCCTGTTTTGGGACTCCTCAGCAGTGCGCATCCACGATCCCACTCACGGTATTCGAACTCAGGGCCTTTGGTCTCTCACGCGAACATCTAACCTCTAGACCATTGAGCTGGCCGGCATCCAACGGTGTTAATGTCCAGCCTCAGCTAATCCATAGAATTGCGTGACCTCTCTCTACCCGACACGGATTAGCTTCACTGGTCATAGCTTCTCAATAGAACTCTGAGAATTCCCACACGAAGCTAGTCACTAGTGAGAACATGATAATTATCAGTATGAGGTTGTGGAGATTATTAAGTTTTTTTTGTGATTGAGATTATGAACCGGTTAAGATTATAAATGAATTAACATTTGAGAACTAATCTATAAATCAAACTGTTAACTCATGTGATTTATCACATATATTAGTCATATAGAAACATTATTACATAGTTGTATTAATAAAAAAATGAAACCCTAAATGATACAGTTGTCTTAGTGTTTATCGCTAAATTTTCTAATCGAAATGGATGAAAGCCGTGACCAGTGGAGCTAATCCATGTCGGAGAGAGACAGGTATTTCGTGGATTAGTTGAGGTTAGACATTAACACCATTGGATGCCGGCTCAGTGGTCTAGAGGTTAAGCGTTCACGCGCTAGACCGAAAGCCCTGTATTCGAATCCCGCGAGTGGGATCGTGGATGCGCACTGCTTAGGAGTCCCACAATAGAATGACATGGCCGTTCAGTACTTCCAGGTTTTCCATGGTGATCTACCATCAATCGACTGATAATCTCAATCAAAATGAATTCATTATATATTTACTTACTTTAAATGAACTTGCAGTAATAATTCTTATGTCAGCTGGAATACGATCACCAAATTTCACTTCAACTATATCACCAACAACTATACTTTCTGCTGGTACTTCAGTTTTTAAACCATCTCGTATGACAAGTGCAGTCTGAAAGTTTTTTGTATAACATTACATTATGATAAAATAACAAATGAGAAAAGGAAAGTGTTATTACTACTGAAAATACTGAATATAAATATTATGTCAAGTGATTTTATATTTTACA